TTTTTTTTTTTTTTTTTTTGGGGGGGGGTAAATTTTATGGATTTTAGTGCATACTTGTTCAATATTAGATATACTATACAAATTAAGCGTATTTATTATTGTATATTTAAGTATCTATGTTTAAAATGAATCAAATTGCCTCAAAACATATACGTGTCGAGATCAAGTCAATTTTTCAATAAAATAATAAATAATAAACTTATTTTATTTATTAATTCCAAATTGTATAAAAATAATAATATTAATTACATTTTTAGAGCATATTTGTATGGATTTAAGTGCATTTGAATCCGGGCCTTAGTTATTATAATCAAAAGTATAATACAAAATATAATTTTCAAATATTTAATACCTATGTCTAGCGTATAAACTATACTAAAAATCGGCGAAAATACTGATATAAATGAAGTGAATATAAAATATTAATATTAATAATAAATTGTTGTAATTTTTAAATTTTATATACTTCACGTAAACCTAAGGTGTTACCAGGCGTATAAAAAAAACTGAAATTGGAATTTATTTCCGTAATAAAGAAATATTATTATTATTATTATATAGTCAAAATAGGTACATACGTATTAACCTGGTTATGATGGTGAAACGAAGACAGCGTACGGATTTTTTGAGCGCTCGCCTATTTTATTCATTTTGGGAATAAAATTATAATATGCATCTATGTCACCCAATCAGCAGATTGTCTCTGGCAATAAATACTTATTTTAAGTCTAAAAACTAAATTTAAGCTTCAAAAGAATACGAAAACAAACTTATATAGAAAGTATAGTAAACTGAAAAAACATTCAATAATGCATTTAATACTTCAATAGTATTAAAATACTTCAATTAACTACTACATCTAGAATTTAGAGTGCAGCACACCACCGATGGAGAAATAGTTAACCTTTTTCGTCCGAATTAAAAGCATATACTATTGATAGTTAAATAGTTGAAAACATATACCTTGAGATGAATGCGCCCATGGTTCTTTATTTTATTTTTTCATTTTTTGTAATGCGGTAATTTACTAATTTCACAAACTGGAACATAGCTTGGTAGTGCCACTTTTAGATCTTTAAATCTTTTCTTACATATAATATGTACTATTTAATATGTTGTATGTCATTTTTTTTTTTGGAATACTATTAATTCTTATATATATTTTTACTTGGTTAAGTTTAAAAAATGATTGTTCTAAAGTTAAAAGATGGTCAAAAATTAATCAATACATGGGAAATAATATAATACTAATTTAATGGATGAATATAAAAAAATTTAAAGGGGAACGAGAGCACCCACAGTAAAAAGCATTTCAAAAAGTGAAAAAAAAATAAAATAAAATTATAAAGCAGGTAGGTATACCACCTGCAGTTTATTATAAATTAGAATCAATAATGTTACCATGTATTTGGTTCCATATGTTTAATTTTTAAGTTTTTAAACCGGGGGAAAATTTTTCAATTATAAACACAACTAATAAAATAATTCTATTTTTATGTTTATAAATAGCTCAAAACGAGTCAAATATATTAACAATTTGATTTTGTCGATTACAGATTTTACGTAAAAAATCTTCGTTTATCCTTATTTTTTTCTCCACCGCTTTGAAAACTATTTAACGAATTAAAAATACAAATTACATTTACTTTATATAACCAGAAAAGAAGCTGAAGTAGAAAATTGAAGTATTTTTACTGCCCTAAAACATTAACACAGACATAAAAAAAAAAAACATATATCATTGTAAAATCAAAACATTTATCCGATCATTCAAAATTTAAAATGAATTTAATAAATGAAAAAAATTGGCTGGTGAACTTGCACACGGACAAATGAATTTTATGAAGATGAAAAACCTAAATAAAACTATAGTATTAGCTGGAATCTGCAATCTATAACCTGATTTATAAACATGAAAAGTTATTAGGTAATGTATAAAGTTTAATGTTAACTTATACTATATATTTTAGTATATTTATTACTATTGTAGCTGTTGATCAGATTTTTTAGCTATTTGAAGTTAAAAAAAAATAATCATATTTTCAGCATATTTTACCAGCTTGAAGATTATTAAGAGATTATTAAGGTTTTTTAGAACATATTTGAATTATATTTTAAACTTTTAAGAACTCTACTYTTTTCAGCTATAAAATGTAGTACCTACCCGGCTACGCACTGTTATTAATATCAATATAAATTAGACGTATCTAAATAGCTTATATTTAATCAAACAACACAAACCTAAAAATTTAAACTTTAATATCTTGTATCTTTATTATGTTCTTGTCATACATTCATATCTCTAGTGGTGTGGTGAGAGGTAATTTCAGAGGCGATCTCTATATTTTTCTTAAATAGAGGGGTGGGTGATAAGGTGTGTCGACTAGTAAATATAATATGATATAATCAACAGCTAGTCAGTAATGATTTGTAATTTAATTAGTTGTTTTGTATTAATATATATTATTATGATTTAGTTCTATTAATATAGAATATTTAAATATTTTTAAGACTTGCATCTGGAAAATGTTCAGTTCGTCACGCCGCTGAATTATCTCTTACACTGTAATATAGGTATATTATTTAGATAATTATCTAGCAATTAACGTATTTCATTAATCTAAGAAATGAAAAAGTACCACTATTTCTCGGAATCAATTTTTTAAGTTTTTTCTCTCCTGAGAAATCTATAATTTTGTAGCTACATGATGCTGCAGTAACATTAACTATTTGACTCAGTCGAAATAATGTAATCAGTATTGCTGATTGTGAAAAAAAAATTAAGGTTATAAACATACAACTAATAATATTATTTTTAGCGATACAAATAACTACAGTTTTAACATTTAGAAATATTATACGTGTGTTACAAAACCATTAACCCATTAAATTGTATCTATCTTTATGAACATTACTTCCGTGATATTCATATTTTTATAACGTATTATAAATCAAATGATTAAAATGTTTTATCATTTCTGAGATCGTTTCAACGTTTTTGCTAACAATACCACAAGGAGGGCCCTTGAGTTGAAGTTATTTTTAAACCAATCGATTGGCATCATTCCAATCCAACGAATGTGGATCATGGAACTGGCTGTTCTAAAACATATAACATATTTTGGTTTTTCGAATTTCATTTAACACTCATACTTTATTCATAGTCGAGCAGTTCACTGCATTAGTATAACTATTTTAATATTATTTTAATATTATTGTGTGTGTTATCGTGTTCGTCAAATAACATTATGGACTCCTCTAACCATGGATCCGTTAAGGTATGAATATTAGACCAGTTTTTAATATATGTACCTACCTATATTATAACCATGTGAATAATAATAAACAACTAAAAAGCAAACAAAATTGTTTTTAAATTTTATATCTAATTATTGAATATAGGTCTAGAATCTTTGTTAACTCTTGAATCATTTTTTTTTTTCAAAAGAAAAAAAAATAGTTCATGCACACACAAACCACATCAAAAACAAGCGATTTATAAAAATTAATGAATTTTCAAAAAAAAACAAAGTACCAATGTGTGTCCATATAATATATACATATTCATTTGATTATATGGAAGTCCTTGAACCTAATTCAGATTAATTTTTAAGGCTTGCAAATTATCTTGTCTTGAATAATTTTAAAAATCTGTACAATTTTTCATCGTCTGATGACGTATCATCGATTTGGTAATTACTAATTGGTATTTGAATTACACCTATACATTTTTATTATACTAATTATTAATTACAATATCTCATTGAGCATGTAGATACAATTATTTTAATAACTATTCATATTTTATGTAATACAACTGGTAAATATGTTATAGGATATGGGAGACATGGGTGAAGTATTACGCGACGTGTCTGATTTATCACCTGAAGATTTGAGAAGACAGAACAGAAATCTACAGAAATTTTTAGTTAAAGTGATCGACTTGTTAAAAGAAAAATCCGATCGATGCGTCACACAAGAAAAACATATTGAAGCGCTAACGTTACAAGTTTGTGTGCTGTTGACATATACCTATTACCTAATATAAATTATACAACGTAAATAATATAAAGTATTAAACAATGCCATATAAATAATATATAATATAATATTTGTCTTCGTACATACCCATTCACCTACGATGTTTACAGACTATTCTACCCGCCTCCTTCAGTCCTTTTAAAACTTAAAAATGTACGTAACTGTAATAAAATCTAATGGGGTAGTAGGTAATATTCAACTATTCAAAAATTTGAGTAAATTATTAACTCTAGAAGTAGCTAGCTAAATTTTTGAAAAATACATACCTATACCGATTTTTTTTAATGAACCAACAATTTATATTAATTATAATAATTTTGGTTCTTATTCATACAGTTATAATTTTTCAAAAAAATCAATTTGAAAAGATTTCTTGGTAGGCATGTGGTGAAAAATTAGGTGTATTATTTTATAGTAATAAGACCGAGTAATTATGTGTTGCGTTTTTTTTCTGCAGACAAAGTCATTGAAAGAAGTCGTGGACATCACAAAGCACATGTTGGCTATTCGTAACACAGAAGTGAATCGTATGACGGATGATTTGGAAAGTCTTCAAGACAAAATCAATGCGGAGAGAAGCCGCCACAGTGCAATAATTGAAAAAATGAATTTAGCTGCAAAGTTAGTACTTACATACATAATGAAAATAATTACAAAAGAGCCCATTAAAGTATTAAATAATGCATCAAAAATAAATTGTATTGCCATTCAACATTTCTTATTTAGTTTGAATAGATTAAAAATGTAATTTTTTATGAGTAAATAAGTATAATATAGGAAGTTCAATTTAAACAGTTGCAAAAATGTAAAAGATACACTAAAAAGAAACATTTTCTATATACATTTTTTTCAACCTATATTATGTTTAAATTCATTAATTTTGAATTACAATAATGGATGCGTATATAAATTTATGTATGAGTGTATAATATACTTATGTCATATACAAAATAAATTTTAAAAACATTGTCACAGCGCTCAAAAAAAAAATAGCATAAGTAGGTATATCTAATATCTAAATTTACATTAAAAAATTACTTTACCTTTATCGCTCATCAATGAAAAAATATCATTTATCTTTCTTAGAAAATTCTTTGCTCGTGAAATTGTATTTGAATTAAAAACACATGTGTCTCAACGCTAAAATATAATATATTTGAATTATGTGTTCTAATGATTAAAAAAATTATATGATTTTCAGATTAAACGACGAACTGAGATCTGAGTATAAAGAACAATCGGAGCGGTTTGAAAATATGCGCGTTAAATATGACGAAAAGTTTTCAATACTTTCGGAAGAAAATAAAAGATTACAAGATGCATTACCCACCGAAACAACTGATTGAAAAACTTATCTAACTATCTAACTTTAAACATTTTTCGAACGTAAGCAATAACTATTGTTTATTATGAAACGTATGTACAATTGTCAATTATTTAGTATTCTAAAGAAAAATAATGACACCCTGATACACTAAACTTCCAAGTGCATGATTTCATGAATAATTAGAAAAAATACAAAACTATAAAATGTACAATCAATTTGACTTAATGATTATACAATAATCTTTATTTATTAAATAAAATTTATACTATTATTGATTTATTATTAATATTATGATATGGAGGAGTACCTATACTGAACTTACCTTTAATTAACTACATATTGCAACGTATATTATTAATGACTCATTAATTAATTGGTTTTATATTGTTTCTGCATAACATAGAAAAATTCTTATTAAACTATATAATCTATACACTAAAGAAGTTATTACAAAACTAAGCATAGTTCCATTTATTAAGTAAATTTCTATAATATTGGATTTGGATATATAAAATAACAAATTAATTAGAAAACAAAAATATAGTAAATAATACTTGTTATACAAATGTATATTATGTTTGCTTTTAAATAGTATATATAATTAATTACATTAATATTTATTTGTTATATTTATGAAAACATACACATTTTAATAGGCTGGTTGTTTTTTCATTTTTTTAAGAACACTAAAGTAACCAAATATATTTAATATAATGCTAAGTATAACTAATATCACCATGTCTGAATATAATTCACTACTTACAAAGCCATATTTACTTAACACTGCTTTTCCGCTATTCAAGCAATTAGTAACATCAATACACGCTACAAAATACACAAACAATATTATTATAAGAAGAAGTTACCTCAAGCTGAATCCTAAATTATCGATTAAATATACTCACGTAAAGATTTAATTTTGCCCCAAAATAAAACTGATGCTGTTTCGCAACCAAGAAAGAATAGCGAAAAGTATCTGAGAGAATATATGTTTTTTGGAATAGACCTAATTTTAAATTAAATGTATTAGCTAACAGCTTTAAGTAAATATTATCAACTGTGAATCAACTTACATATATGATAGATAAGCACCACTGAAAGGCAACGACAGGAAATCATATATTGTAGCAAAAATCATAGTGTTTTCTATGCGATTAAAATATGCTGACAACAAACTTCCTGTAATAACAATAATATATAAATATAATAATTATTGACGCCTTATAAATAACAATATATATATTATTTTTATTTCTACTAGATACTTGTATTGTTATTAATTTATACTTCTTGTTGTACAATTATCAATATATTTTTTTAATTCAAATTCATGTTTGTGCGAAAATATCTTAGCATAACTGTATACAATTTGTAAAATATTTCATTTTTAAATTCCAATTGGTGTTATGTATTATTAAGTACCTATTAATAATTCAAGTATAATTACCATACGAAAAGGCTGCAAGCGMTAATAAATAGAACACCAACAATTGCAATTTACTCCAATTAGCACCAACAATCCAAAACGCAGATACACAGTAAAATACCATTTTTACCACCATCCACAAACCCTATAAGATAAATATTTTTATGATATAGTTATTATGAAATCAGTACTACTTTTATCATATTGCATACCATTATCATCAATTCAGACATGAAATATGCGCTCAATGGATATACTTTGTTGTGAACTTCTCGATGAACAACTGCAAATTTAACTTGRTATATTGAAATAGCAGAATAACTGAAGTGGAACACATAGTTAATGACAAATATGAACCAAAAACCTTGCCAATTTTGTACTGCATTTKTATCGAGCTGCAGATTCGAAAATGGAGCAGAAATAATGATACCTAAAAACTATAAACATAATTAATATTAAAACATAAAATTAAAACACATAGAGCATTTTATCAAATATGTTTTTAAAAAAATGAATATTTGTTAATACCAAATAAAATATAATTGTACAATTGATACTGTAATGTCTAAATAGCCTAATTTATTACAAACATTCTTATAGCCATCTCCGGGGACTTAAAATGCCCACTGCTCACTACATAAATAAAACATTTAGTTTCTGGTCAGGAATTGTTGAGATAAAAAGATCCAACTACCTATTTGTATCTATTTACAAAATGTAAAATTTATAAATAACTAAATGTTTTGTGTTTTCACTTTTATATCGGATAAAAAACATTCCAATTAAATTTTAGCTATGGCAAATATTTATTTTGTGAAAAATAAAGAAATATAGAATTTGTAGTATAAATTATAAATGCCTAATAAAATATTTGAAATAATATTTTTTAATTTATTGATCCATGCAATATMTACTCACGATATAATGATTTTTTAAACCATATAAATAATATTGATTATACTTACAACATTAATAAATAGCAATAAATATATTTATTTTTTTTAATTAGTTTTTTAATGTTAAGTCTCAATTAAAGTGCTTTTTCATAATTATATTTAGTTTGAAATCTCAGGCTAATGGTCAAAACATTAATTTTTCAAATGGTGACATCCTACGGCCATGAGATCTAATTTGAGATTTCGGCTTATATTAAGTTATAACTTATAACCTATAAATACAAGTTTTGAATAAAATCAGACAATGTTTTATCCAAAAAAAAATTTGAGTAAACCTATGAAAAACCCCGTGGTGGTAAGGACAAAGTTTGGTGAGATCTCGTACGAGATGCATATTATAGAAATTACCCAAATAGTTCCCAGTTCCAGTAGATTATTCTTGTAATTTCTTGTAAAGCATTTGATGGATCTATCCAAAATCAAATAGAACTGTGTTGGCCATGTTGGTTTTAGTCTAAACAAAAAAAAAATAAGATCATTATCATTTTTTTTTCTTCTACTTATATATTTAATATAATACTGCTATACTAAATAATTATTTATTATCAATATTTTAAAACACACGACTTAATGGCGTTATAAATATAATATAATTTTGATAAATTGTATAAGTAATAAAATACATTTCAACAAAAAAACACATATTTACTTACGTTTCTAACGTTTCTAAATGTTGAGTATCAAATTTAGTCTGAAAATATTGTAAATATGTACATTATTTGGTTAAGGATATTATTATGTTACACATTTTTTTGTCAAATTATTTAATTCTGTTTACCTGATTATTAAATAAATCATAATTTTGATTCGTTATTTGGTCTGTTGAAGCTAACTTGCACATTTCAATTACATTTTTTTTTACATTTTCATTTTCGGAATTAAGAATAGAAATCACAAAGTCAGCTTCGTTGAACATATCAGGGCATTCATAATTGAACCTAAATCATATAATATACATTTTTATTTATAATTTACTATCGTAATATACAAATTTAATGTATTGGTACTTTTGAAATAACTGACGGACCATGGTGACAGGCCCTTGATATGCTAACAGTCCATTCGATAACAATATTACTTCATCGAATTTTCCGAATACACCAGACGCCGGTTGATGAATGGTGCATATCACAATTTTACCCATTCGTGCGACACCTTTTAAAGTGTTCACAATGTGGGCGGCCGAGTAACTGTCCAGACCTGTTGTTATTTCGTCACAAAATAATATTGGTGGGTCGTTTAATAGTTGAACTGCGAGAGCAATTTTTTTCCGTTCACCTCCAGACAAAAACGATATTCTAGTGTCCAAGAACTTAGCCATGCCCAACATGGAAATTATTTTATCAATATGTTCTTTCAATCCTATTTTGGTTATTTTGCGAGAAACTTTCAATTTCGCCTTGAAATAACAAAATAAACATAGGTAAAAGTTAAGTTGTATAAAATACTACGTATTTCTATTTAATTACCATCAGAGTCAAGTGCTCTAATGCTGTCAACTGATCAAAACTGATATCGTGTTGTGGAACAAAACCAGATATCTTAATCATGACTTCTTCAGATACTGGCTGTCCGTTAAGCAATAATTCTCCATCAAATTGTCCTAAAAAAATAAACAATAATTAACTATAAGGATAAAATCACTTATGTGCTTTACAAACCTTTAGTTCGATGACTGATGGTTGCCATCAATGTAGTTTTTCCTGAACCACTAAATACAAAGGGTTTTTCTATTATAAATAAAAAAATTATATTTGGGTATATTAATACTAATTAATTTAATACCTTGGACCCATAATTCCTAGAAGTTTTCCAGATTGTACGTTTCCACTAACTGAAAACATTTAAAACATCAAATTAGTAAATACGTGATTTGGAAAAATATTATTTTCTTTTGAAATGCAATAAAAACAGAAAATGGGTATTTTCTATACACTCATGGTAAGCAATGAATTACTCAGAAAAATTCTTTAGTTATTGAGCACATATAGTTTTAATTCAACGAGTATTTTTTCTAATAAAAATAATATTATTACTGTTATCAAAGTTATTTTTTTTAATGCCACTATTTAATATTATGTATCCTTATAAATCAATGTAGGTATTACTTACTAAATAAAAAAGCAATTATAACAATTAAAACCATTACTACAGTATGATATCAGAAGACAATATATAATGTTATTTCATACCTATCTAATAAACTCGGCGGATTCCCAGGTTTATGATTAGTTTGAATAGGTACTTCTATTTTTACAAAAAATTAAATTTAAAAAAATTATCAAAATCAGCTATCAAACTATTTCGAAAAATATTGCAAATCCACAGTTAATAGATAATGAGCGGAGATCGATTACACAGAAATACAATAATCTTTAATTTATTTATTAGCTTAAACGTTTAATAGCATACTTAAACATTTACTAGTGAGGAAAAGCACGTCAATCAATTATATCTCTATTTCCCAAACGTAATTTATGGTTCTATAATTTATGGTTCTAAATTCAATATAACTAATCGTTAATCATTAGCTATATCATGTTTACCAATTAAATTAAATACAGTTCAAACTATACTACTATAAAAGTCTTAGACAACAAACACATATTATTAAAACCTAAGATAATTTCTTACTACTTTTTAAAAAACATTAGACAAACGAAAAAAAATTTAAAAAATATCATATTAAGTAGGTATATTAAATTACATTGCTTGTAGTAATATAAAACAAATATAAATTTTGTAACCAAATCTGTTTTTCTAGGGGAAAAGGAGAGACGTAGTCCAACTATCTATAATCCCATGGATCCTTATTAAATATCTTTAAAAATTAGATATTCAACTAAACTTATTTTTTTATTTTACAGAATAATCTTAAAAATATTTTTTATACGTCGTAAAAATGTTACAATACATATTAAATATATACAAAATATTACTCCTTCAATAAGGTATATATATATATATATATTAAAATTTTGATATTTGGGATTTTAAGTATTATATTATTAAGTAACCATTTTTTATTGTATAATTAATTTATTATCATGTTCAATTGTAATTGTTGAGCTATCATATTTTATTACTAGAAGCTAATAAAAACCCCTTTTTTGTATAATTAAATGGAAATTAATAATATCCATTATTTAATTAAAAAATATATTAACCAATACAATTTATTATATACACTACATTTACTGCATTTACATTTATTAATTATTAGTAATAAGCTAATGTTGATACTTTTCCGTTGAATGAATTGTTTTCAATAGGTACGGCTATATTGCTCTTAATTTTTAAATAAAATGCATTTAGAAGTTAAACCCAAATACTATGTACAATATTATTCTATGTTTTATTATTAAATAAAATACTATTTAAACTATTTTCTATCGTCTTCCATAAACCGAGAAAAAATTAATGACCGGCCGGGACCCCGGAACATGCTGTTAAAACCGGGACTATCCGGTCAAAACAGGACGAATGGCAAGCCTAATTTTAAGTATACTGAAAGTCTTAAAGACCATGTTTCAAGTTTCAACTATTAATCAGATAATATATTCAACACTTTGATGTACCTATCTACATTAATATTCGAACGAGTCGTTTTTCAGCTTGTATACCAAGAATAAAAGTCCTGAGCCTGAATAATGGTACGGTTAGATACAAAACTATAAACTATTTTTGTTGACAGTGGTCTGTTTATAGAATACCAAATCAACGTGCAGTATTAATGCGGCATCCAAATTATAGTTGTTTTGACTTTAATTTTGGTATAATTTTATTATCAACAATTGTACTTTTGCTCCCGTAGGTGTAATAGTGTTAATGTAAACAAATAAATTAAACACGATTTCGATTTAATATCATTAATTAGGAAAACAAATCTTTTTTTATACATTTGATCGTTGTTACTTATATGAATAATATAATGTTATTATATGTTATAAAAAAATCTCAACACCTAACTAAAACAACTTATACACACCGAAGTAGAATTATTATTATAATATCTTAATATTTTTCTATATAATATTAAATTATATATAAGTTTTTGTAAAGATTGATTTAATATGTTTATTAGATTTATAAATAGGTACCTAAAAATGACAAATAAAAAATAATTTTTTAATGAAAAATAATATGAGAATTAAACATATTCGTTATAAGCATATTATGGCACTGCATGGTGGACAACCCAACAACGCCAATAAAGTATTGCAAATATTATAGGTACCTACCTACTTTTGAACCTACTCGACAAAAAAATATACATTTTTGTCCTTGGTTGGAGTATATTATATATTTTTTTAATCTATACTCGGCTTTTACATTCTTAAAATAATAATATATTGTTATATACTGTCTTCATATTATATCATTCCAAACATTTTTGAACATATTAAAGACTACGTAAGTATATAACATAACTCCGATACCAGTCAAGAGCTAACATTTCGTATTCACCGTTGTGTAATATTTGCTTGTACGAGATTTTTGATCGCTGGAAAAACTTTTGGGTAATTTGTTTCACATGTACATTAATTTTTTTCCAAGACAACACCAAGTTTCCATGAACGAACTCTTCTTCCGGCGTTCTGTGTCCATCCATACCGTCCCAATCGTTCCACATCTCATTGTATCTCAAATCCAACGTTCTCCTCTAAAAAAAAAAATTTCAAACCGGTATGAATGGTATGATAGATACACGTTTACTATCGATGCCATCGATTAGCATCAATAATGCGAATATGAAATTATTAAAAATAGTGTACATTCGAGTGCAAATGTATTTATTTTTTAAGCTTAAATAGCTTTTTTATATACTGAATAGTGAGAATGCTAACAAAAATAATAAAGGATATAACCTTTATTAAAAAACAGAGATAATTTTATTCTTTAGTTAACTCAAAAAGTAGATAGCTATATTTTGTAAGAAAATGGATTGTGAGCTAAACTATCTCTTAGGTAGGTATCGAATAATGTAATAATAAATTAATAAACACTCACCTGCAACTTCGTGCCGAACATGTTCAATTGCCGTGTAGGTAGATGGTGTAATATTAACACGTCGAATAGAAATCGGAGATGAACTCGCCGCCGGAGCTTCAGCTCAACTGGCGTCTCTGGGGCCTGGGCATTTCTCTATGCTATAACATTTACTCAATATTTTATCCGCACGGCCGGTCATGCCACCACTATTATAGCCTATACATATTTTACGATTAACGTATACTTATATATATATATATATATATATATAAATGTCGCATAGCTGTGTGTATGGTAAATAATGCAGCATGGTTAATGCTAGCTGTGTATCGTATAGTGTATGCGTTGTGAAACCGGTTTAGAGGTCAATCCAGGAGATAAACTCACTCCGAAACGCGTTTTTGAATAATTATTTTTAATTTACCACACATTTATATATTTTAACTATTTCAACGAGGTGGTTATTATATGGCAATAATTCTGTTCTCGTTATGTCAGTGTTACACGATTAATTTCAGTATCATGACATATTATATATTGTCACATTAACGTTTACCCATATTGTTTTTACTCATGATTTTGCCAACATCGAAGAGACGTTGTTTTTGAAAAAATGAATTGTCTGGACAGTGGAAATATTCGAACTTAGGTAAATTTTTATTACGTTTTCGCTGATGTATCTTTTGCGCTATGCAACTAATGAGATGGTTGAACTGAAGTTTGCCAATTCGCCTATTTTTTTAGAGTATATAATAAATTTAATATGTTATACTATACATTTTTACGCCAGAGGATGTATCACAAATTTAAAAACTATACATATTTATTGCAAATTTAATAAGTAATCTATATGCTACACATCAATAATTATGCCATGAAAAAAGTATAGTAAAAACAAAAACGTGATGTTATCAATGTAGACCTGAACAAATCGAAATTATTCACAATAAAATATATACGTATTATTATTATTATAAGCAATAATAAGGTATAACTAATGCACAAATTTTAAAATTTGATTTTTGATTAGTTTCTTATTGTTATCGCTTTTAGATAGCCAACGCCAAACGCTTAATATGCATCGGTTCGGTACTGGTGCAAATAATATATTATACGCGAACACGTACCTATTATTATTTATTCCTCACATTTTATTATTATTATTAAAGTCATATCGTTCGGCGCGATTGATGTTCACGCCAACGCTAGGTACCTCAATATCGTTCGGCGCAATTGATATATACCATTATAACCTTTTTGAATCCCATATATTTTTGATGTTATTCATCCATTTAAACAGCAATGAGTAATGATTACCTCTATTGAAATATTATCCTGTGAGGCTGTGGACGTAATAGTTACAGAGCTATGCATTTAAACAAACTGAACATGGGGTTCAGAATACCCCTAAATACAGTAAAAACTCAAAAAATCTAAGGCTTGAAACTCATTTGTTTTTTTTTTTAAACACCTTATTTAACCGAAATTTGAATAAAACATTATTATCTCTGCATTAAGTATTTAAAGTTGAAATTTATTTCAAATAACACAATAACATTATTTTCCTATTTATTATTTTATTGCGAAATTTGTAATCTAACATTAAAAAAACAGTATTTTTAGTGGGCTTGGGCCAGWGGCGTTTGCCCATCCGGTTTTTACGCCATTAGTTGCAACCTCTGAATCTTTTAGTTCTACTTATGTGCTTACGGCAGTCGATATCCTGTATCATTTCCAATGAAATAACAATTTTGTTATAAAACAAAAGTAACTTGATAAATTCTTTCTTTTTTTTTTTACCTGAAATCCATCAGTCAGTAATTCTCTAATGACTACGTCTCAAAGAGATACACATTTTTGAGAATGGATATACTTATTTTAAACGACATTAGGCACTGATTGTAGGATTTTGCATTACAAAAAAGGTATATTTTACATGTTGTAAATTTGACCGATAACTTGCGTCCCGTTTTGGTGACGCAAGTCAGCTATATAATTACTACTAAAATCACTTAAGTCGATAGTATCGTGTCACTAAAATCGATAGTTCATTGTTCATAAACTATACTATATAATAAATCTCACTATTTGAATTGAATACATGCATTTTTTTTTGTATGCCAAAATGTAAAAAATATCAATTTTATTATTATGACAAAATTTAAAAAATAAGAATTGTAAAATTAAAATTAATAAAACATTAAAAATTAAATTAAAATGTGTTTTTTATTAACTTATTGATATCTATATTTTCGGGACGCAATTAGATTATAAAAAGGTATTACGGGACGCAAATGAATGTAGGGAAAAAAGCCAAATTACAATAATTTAATATATAACAATTAAAATTAAAGTATTAAATTAGGTATTATTTAAAAAATTTTTTACACGTTATTGGTCATATTGTATTTATATATATATATATATAATTATTAATACACAGGTTATATGTTATTATTTATTATTCATAGTAATAAATATATTTTAGATTCTAAATAGCAATGAATGTATTGATTTTATTAAACAAAAAGTTTAAATTAAAAATATATAAATTTATTTATTTCCAGATAGCATGTATTTCATACTGCAACATGTACATTTAAAAAAGAATCACCTAGTACAAAGTAAATACATGATACTTATACATATTTAGGGTGTAAGACATAAATTAATTGATTTCAAGACAATATCCACAAAATATTATATTATTTTTATTCAACGTATATTATAATATTAACAATTTTAAATTAATTAACATATATAACCTGTGTATTAATAATTTTATATATATATATGTATACAATATGACCAATGTTTAACAATTTTGAATAATACTTTAAATATTATTTTTTTGTATATGTAATTATAATGATTTTTTATATATTTGATCAATAATGTGTAAACAATTTTTAAATAATACCTAATTTAATACTTTAATTTTAATTGTTATAGGTATATTTAATTATTGAAATTTGACATTTTTTTCCGTGGCTTATTTTTTCCATGGATTTTTTTTTTGTGGCTTTTTTTCCTTGGATTTTTTTTTTGGCTTTTTTCCGTGGATTTTTTTTCCCTGGCTTTTTTTCTGACTACCGACGCTAATAGAATATGACCCTTTTTGAATCTTTTTTTGCGGGACGCAACTAACCTACTGATAATATTTTCGGACGCAAGTAGTATGCTCCCGCCAGATACAGATGGTTTAATTCCTGAAATACGGACATGAAATTAAATTTATATACATACAATTTTTTCAAACCTGTTTTTTTTTTTACCTATTTGCACCAAATGTACTTGTGTAAGCATTTTACATTAACGACTTGTTTCAATTCATAGATTTATACACGACATATTTTATAAAAACTAATAAGTTTAAATCATAATAAAGTTATTTTTATGTCAATAGATTTTAAACTTTTGTATATCATTGCGTAGAGGTAGCAGATTTAAAACAAGTCTTATTTCAGTTTTATTAAGTTGTACGATGTAGATACCTCCAATATTCAATTCAGTACCCAATTCACGTAACCTTCTCATTAATATACTCAGTCATACAATTTCCAAGTATTTGTAATTTCTTTCCTGTTTGCTTTCCTTCTTGTAAGTTTCCTTACATTAATCCTTCAAAATTTAATAAAATTTAATGCCTGAAATCTGAAGTCTCTATAGAATAAAACATATTAGGAATTAGGATAGGCACCTGTAAATTTTTTATTTAGCTTTGAATGGAAAGATTCATGTTGTCCTATCAATATTTTTTATAAAATCTATCCCAAATTTCGATTGATCCAATTTTAGCAGCAAGGTTTTACGGCCATCAAATCGGTATAAAAATAGTTATCGGTGTCTTTGAATAATAATACAAGCAGTCCAAAAAATAGTTTCAAAAGTTGTCCGATATCTGAAACATTAGCTTTAAATTCATTAGAKACTAACTTTTTAATTTTTCTCTACCATAACTGACACAAATTACCTCTGCAACCTAAAACTCTTGTAACTTGTAGCTATTAATTATGGAGCCATGAATAGATGTTTCAAAATTAACGAAAACCTTGCAAAATAATAGATATTTTGCAACCTTATTTAATGCAAGAATGTAAGTGTTAGTAGTCTTATTCGGGAGTAGACTGAATCGCAGAATACGACAGGAATAAAGTTATTTTTTACCTTGATAAAAATAGAAAATAATAGATAAAATTGGTTAAGACAACTGTCTTCTTGAATTGTTCCAAGTTCGATAATTTATCAACCCTTCAATATAACAAACTATTGCCATTTCATTGTATACACTATAAATATAGTGAAAGTACATACATATATTTTGTATTTTTATACTATCTAATTTCCATTTTGCACCTATTTTTAAAAATTAAAATTTTAACTATTTGACCGGAACACAAACGGGAACCAATTCGACTAAACCTAATAAAATACCATTTTAAACGACAACTAATTCGGGTCAGCTTAATAAAATACTTTTTTTTAAATGGGAACCATTACTATTACTTCCTGAAAAATATCTAGTAGCATTTTACATCGTCCACTTATTATGAGAATATTATATTCAATATTGTCTAAAATCGAAATATAATTTATTATAGAGTGGTAAAAACGGTAGAGCACAACAAGATAGCCGTAGCATTCTACACTTTGTTAGGTGTTTAATAGAATTTTATAGCAGTACGTTTATAAGATGGGTTTAAATTATTTGAAATTCATGAATACTCRCTTCTTAAAAATAGTTAGTACTAGTTTAATTACCATTAAAAAATTAAAATAATTTTTAAAAAATGTTTGACTTCAAGTCTTGGTCAATTAAAAGTCAAAAAATTTTGAAATTAATGAAAAATGTTTTACATCATGACCACAATATTTGTTATAAAAATAAAAATTCAAAAAAAGATGGATTTTTATACACACCCATCGGCACGGATCTATGTGCCATGTTTGTTCTTCAATTTAATTGTATCCACAAGAGTTATTGCAAGCAAAATTTATATTTAAATTGATGCGTTGACATTGGTATAGATGATCATTGCCAGTTAATATTTTGGTCCTCTTAGTCAGATATGGATGATTTTTAATATGCACTTTTTGATTATTAAAAATATGAATTATGGTTAACAAATC